TAACTATATTTTTCATAAATGTATTTTAAGTATAAGCACAGTCTCAGTCAATACTTCTCAGATCACTTTTCTCCCAAATATTTTACAAGAATCAATGGGCATTTACAAGATACCATTTGAAATAGTCAAATTTAATATAGATTTATCTCAAAGATGACAGATCTTTGAATGTTATATCCAGCTGTATGTTAGTAAGGACATGCATATAACTATATTAACTTTAACAATTAGCCTATCAAAGCAATGTGTTTCTTTCAACTTCTGGAAGACCTGAAAAAAAAGAAAAAAGGAATTATGCAATTATTTCTGGCTGACAGAGGCCTTAGAAGAAAAGAGGATAATGTTTCTGGGGTCAGCATTAGAACTATAGTGCACCGTTAATGTAGTAGACTCCCAAATGATTCATGACAGGAAGACCAGTGGTAAATAAAAGATTAAAAGAGCCAAACATAATGAAGTGCCAGTAGATATAGAAGTGTAGGAAGTTTTTAAGGGACAGACAGTATTTCATTAAAATCAGAAGCATGCATTTTATTTATGAAGGCACTGTTTTCAAAGTAAGATATAATTATAATTTTGTATTAAAGTAAAATGCAGCCATTTTATGGGCAACAGATAATACTACAGATATGATAGGAAGAAATACGGTCCTATTTCACAGAAATTGAAATGAGATTTTTAAATGAGTGTATCTGAAAAATTACAGTATCATTACAATTAGATACAAAATAGTTTTCTTTCAATTTCTAGTTTTTAAGCAAAAATTGTAATTTTCTCATAATACTAATTTTTTTGGGTCATATACTTTACAGAAGCTAACATTAAAAGGCTGTATAGATCTTTTCTAACTTGGCAAAATCCTTAGCTAAAAGAACCCTTACACATTATGGAATGTATAGACAGGAAATGACAAAAACATATTAGGAAGTTTTAATAAAATCTGTAGTCATGAGCCATTAAGAGTTGTGAGATCAGTTATATGAAGAAAATGAGAAACACTTTTATGGAAAGAATGGATTTAAATTATGACACACTAATAATGAGATAATTCAATTTAGAATGTTAAAAAATTCAGTCTGTTAAATTCTTAATGCAATTTCTCAACATTAACTACCGCTGAATTTTTTTTACTATGTTATTTTTGTTACCTGTTAATTTGACATTAAAAGGTTAAATGATTGTAACCATTTGTAACAGGGCATATGATAAAGTAGATGATTGTGAGAAATCAAATAAAGTTTAACTGGCTTTTGAGAATATTAAAAGACTCTTACTCTTAGAGAAAGAGTCTTCTGTTCCTGGGTGTCTGTCAGAGATATGTTCACATGTATTGGTTATGCTGTGAGTGAGACTTCAGGTAGAAACAAACAGTGTGACCACAACTCCAGTTGCTCTTCACAAGGCTTGTTACGAAATGCAATGCCACCAAAAAATACAGTCCTGTGTATTTACTCTCGCTGCCTGGTGGCTAATACTGTCCATGGATAAGTAAAGGTCTGAACCTTCCAAACTTACTTACATGTGAATAATGTCATAACTACAGAATAACTTCTATATTATGTGAAAAACATGCCTGTCTCAGTAAGATCTGTTTGCTTTTCCTGATTTTTACCCAAACTGAGTAAAATTTAGAGGAAAACCCAAGACATCCATTTCCCAAGAGGCAATCTTAGACTGTTTTGAATCAAAACTGATGGAACAGGGGCAAAGAGGAAGAAATTTCAGTTGAGGTAAGTTAGCTGTCAGGGACATCCACAGTCTTTTTGCTATTAGCACTACGGAGACACATACACAGAAACCAAGGTCCCCAAACCTATCACATGTAAGAGCTTAATACCAATTCCCCTCACCCCATCACTCTTACGGTGTTGGATTCTTACAGCAGACTGCCTAGCACTAGGAGGAGAGTTAGCAGTTTTGCATAAAACTTTCTGGGCCTCTTGAATGCCTTCTGTCTTATACATACAGTCCTTCCTCATTATCTACTGTGAGAATCTCATAAATTAGTTTAATTTACAGATTACACTAATAGGGAGGTAACTTTCCTAAAATGTTTAAATTGCTTGGCTGTTGCTGACCTTCATACTGAGGAAAGTAGAGGACTAGTTTGTTTTGTAGAAGGGTGGCAGTGAATACCACAAAGGCCAAAGTACATTAGAAATAGAAGAAACCATTCAACCCCTTTTTGGGGTTCTTGGTTGTTCTGTTTTGTTCTTTTTGTTTTGTTACTGTTCATTGATGTTTAACAGCAAAGGGAGTAGGAACTACAACCTCTAGAATGCTTGAGTGTTTTCTCAGTAGTTGCCTGGGTCCCATTCCTGGTTGGTAGCATGCTAATATGCTGAATCTTTGGAATTACTGAATTTATTGAGGGTGAGAGATTCAAGTACTTCCATTCTTGACAGACAATCTCATCAGGAGAATAGCAGAAGAATTAGAATACATTTTGAGAAGATGCTAGGAAGAGGTGAGGATCATCATATCTGTCTTTCTTAGGACTTTCCTAGAAAGAAAAAAATTGGGTAAACCAACAAAAGCCTTTATGAGATGGGAAAAGATGGCAGGAGTAGTTATTCTGGTTGGGACTGGGAGAAATCAGTTCTTGCCAGAATAAGGAATGGGCTTTATATCTAAACTGCATGCTACATTGCTTATCCCAAATGTTTGGACTACATTGCCTTCTGCTCTGTGCTATCTTTGCAGAATAATTACGAACAATCTAAGCTAAATAAATAAATAAATAAATAAGCTGAAGTGGTTTTAGGAACTTCTGCATTGCTGAAATTGCACTGTGAAAGATTTGCGGTTTATTTCAGTGATAAAGCAGTTTTTTCAGTTTATTGCCAGCTTCTTCCATGAACTTGACATTTTAATATTTTGTGACAGTTAAAGCATTACTTCATGTAAATTTATTTTGATTTCAGGCATTCCAAACAAATTTATTACAGGTCTGTCTCACACTGATAATGAAAGAAGATAGAAAGAGATATATAATCAATATAATTTTTATGGTTTTCTGCCAAGTCACACTATGTTGCTCCAGCTGAGAATGAAAAATAATTTTGTTGGACATATTCCTGTAGAGTCTGTAGAGACTTCTATGAATTTCAGTCCTGACATTTAAATCTGTATGCAAGTAATATCTGAGTCATGAGAAGCTCACACCATTCTGTCATGCATCACTTATTAATGACCTTCCTTGACGTTAGGAAATATTCTAACAAAGGAAATGAGAAGCCATAGTCGCTTTAATTTAATATGAATACTCCATTCCAAACCCTGAAGTTCAACAAAATTGCTGGTATGAGTTTAAAAAGTTCACAGAATCACAGAATCTTAGGTGTTTGAAGGGACCTCGAAAGATCATCTAGTCCAAACCCCCTGCCAGAGCAGGGTCACCTAGAGCACATTACACAGGAACATGTCCAGGCGGGTTTTGAATGTCTCCAGTGAAGGAGACTCCACAACCTCTCTGGGCAGCCTGTTCATTAAAAAAGGATAGTGTTTCAAGATAGACAATTTAAAAATTGTTATATGGCCATCTTTTCATACTGTTATATTCAGAAGATGCAACAGGAGAAGGCATACAGATGTACAGATGTACAAATTAGGCAGGCAGCAGTAGTGAAATCAATGGAAAAAGCTGAAAGAAAAGAAAGGGGCAGAGGACTCATTGCTCACTCTGGCTCGTCACACTTGGTGGGAGGAAGAAGGCATAATTTGGAACTAAAGAGGATCAGCCTGGATATAAGAAAAACATTTTTCAACCTGATGACAGACAAAAGTGGAACAGGTTAGCCAGAGAGGCTGAACAGTATCCATGCTTAGAAGTTTTCAAGGTGTTTCTGAGTAAAGCCCTGCACAACCTGGTCTGATCTCATCACTGACCCTGCTTTGAGCAGGATGTTGAACTAGTGACCTCCCACAGCCCCTTGCCACCTGGATTACTTTAGCATCCTAGAATCATACAGTAATGGGTACCCCACTGCTGTTAAAAAGAGAAAGATTTCATAAAGTGACAGTAAAAAGGAAAAATTACTGCCTAATAGCAAAAGTGGTAACAGAGCCCTTACTTCAGTAGCTTTTTCTCCCCATTTCATCTGTATAAGGGGTCAGATATGTTCAAAGTTAGGGAGAGGAAAGATGGCAGGATGCAAAGTCTACATACTAACTTTGGAGTAGATGATAGGGCTACAGTGGGGAGTGTGCCAAGTTAATTTAGACCATTATGGCCAAGAAGGATCATATATGTAAGGATACTCTGGAATTATGTGTTTTACTTTACTCTTTTACATTTAAATCTTGTCACACCATAAATCTGAGTCATGCCTCATGCAGAGGATGCATCCTTCCCTGGAAAGGCAGATGTAATTGAGGTGTACTGAAATGTTCATGCTGCCTATATTGAGGGCTTCTGAGTCTTCAGTTTGCTTCCATACTAGGCTGCAGGTGTCTCCTTGTAGTGTTAATACTGGTTAACCCAACTCCCTTGGTATGTCTGGAGACAGCTAGGAGCTTCTTTGATGAGCAGCAGGAAAGTGGAAAATGTCTTTAGACTTGTAGGGGGCAGTATGAAAAGTTATCACTTTCAACTTGTTACACTAATATAAAACATACTTAAGATTGTCTTCCAGCATTTTTTTATTCCCTTCAATAGCCTGCAAACATGAAAGGCTGAGTTCCATTCCTAAGACTAATTTTTATTGGGTTTTTTTGCCAATGTATTCAAAGCAGAAATAAAATCATTAACTCTTCTGAAGTTCACAGGCAGATGGTGATGACAGTGATGCTGGAGGGGATGGGGAAGCAACATTTAGTTTCAAACTAAAAGTAAAATAGGTAAAATTATATTAAATGTCAGTATTGAGAATATTGGTAAATATCTGTGAAGCTATGTATAAATATTAAAATAATTTCTGATTTCAGGAAAAAAAATGGAGTTGAATGTATAATCACAGAAAATAACATTTTTGTCTTATACAACTTTGTTTCTCTTTTAGTGGCAAAGCATTACTATAACACTGGTTGAGAAAGTGCAGATGGTTGCTGTAATCCTAGGATCTCTGTTCTTAGTAGCAAGTGTGACTTGGCTTCTATGGTCAGCCTTCAGCCCTTATGCAGTATGGCAAAGAAAGGACATCCTTTTTCAAATCTGCTATGGAATGTATGGTTTTATGGATCTAGTATGCATAGGTAAGCTCAAAATCTTTAAACAGCACAGACTATGCTATAAGACTATGACTATATCTATTTCTCTAATCGGTCACTCTAATTGACCACTCCAGTTGTTTGCAGATCCATTCTCAACTGGTGCTTCTGGCAAACAGTGCTTTTTACAGTGATACAAATACTTCAAAGTAAAAGAACCAATGAAACTACTCATCAAAGTGTCTACCCATGATCCTAGTGGTGAGAACAGGATCAGTTTCAATTTCTTGAAAAAATAGACAGTTAGCAAAGTTTAGGAAGTTAAGTAGATGAAAATTACAAAGACATTATTAAAATAGTCAAGTCTTCTACTGATGCTGCTTTATGTTAGATTGTGCCATCATGAAGCACAGAAGAAACCCTTGAGGATGTCATCAAACTATATACCCAAAATGAAGTTGTACAGACATATATAGGTCACTGTGCTAGAGTAACAGAAAAGAACAGAGAAGACAGGCATGAGTGCTTTGTACATCATAAACTGTCACGAAACACTCTGCTAGTGCTAACTATAATAACTTACCATCCTGGCTGGAGAGGAGTTTTTGATTTTTTTTAAGATCTTTTATCTTCTCTGTTATCTTGAGTAGGTGACTCAGGGAAAAAAGCATATTAAAAAGTCTCAAGTTATTTAACTCTAGCTTAAATCTTATAACAGAAAATGCAATTTACTGCACAGCTATTTTCGCCAGTTTTGACCCAGCAATATTTTATGTAAATCCCTGTAGTATTTGATAAAACAACCTTGAATTGATAGAATAACTATGATCATTTGAAAAAAAATATTAAAAAAAAAAAGTAATTGCAGTAAACATTAAACCACATTCTTAGAATTGCAATTCCTAGGAAATACAGAAGTCAAATGCTATCTGATGTTTTCTTTGAGATTTCTGAGTGATAAATGTTGGTGTTATCCTAATCTCGTATATGGGAATTCAGAAGGGCAGTGCTGAATTCTGCTCAATCAGGTGCAAAAAACCAGAGTGATTCCTAATATCAATGTTTGTGCTCCAACCATAAAGTCATGTCATCTTTTATTGAAACCATTCCATTACGGAGAGAGTATATTTCATGTGGATCCACAGTTCTGTTTATTTTGTATTTTTTCTAAGAGAAGCACACTCTGGAATATTTTACAACACAGGCTTCTTCTGTGAACCCAAATCTTCTCAGACACAAAAATGAACTGAATCTAACTTTTTAATACTCTGGACAAGTGCTCAGCTTTTAAATGAAAAAAAAGGGCTCAGCTACATGCCCTCTTACATGCTGAGTCCTGAATATCACTTTTTTTTTTTTTTGGTTTAACACTCAACATTGACGTTTTTACTCTTGTTTAGAAAAACACTAAGGGAAAACAAAACGTGCTTCAGGCATTCTAAACTTTTCATTTACATGAATTCAGTTTTTTCACAAAGATTACAATTGTAAAAAATTTACTTTGGTGTGCATAAACTACTTGGAAGAACCAGTTATTGCTATTTCTGTGACTGTTAAAACACCTGAACCAAATTCATCTCAAAATCAGTTTAGAATGTCTGTTTGCAGTCAGAAATTTTAGTGTCTTTATCTGTAGAAATGAACTATTGAAAGGCAGACCTTCAGTAGATTGGTACATGCAGTTATGTAGCTGCCTCCTAGACTGGTAGGCTCGAGCCACCTCTAGACTGGACACTGCTGAGCTAAGCTGTACCACACATGGCTGCCCCTCACTGCCACCATGCATGAACAAAGTGAACATTCAGCTGTCTTCACCCACCAGATAAACTCACTTTCCTGTAATTCCATAAATGCATATTTGTATAGCCCTAATACATGGAAAATTTTACGTCAAACTAACTATAGTCAAACGTATTTGGATGATATTTTGTAATGATAGAGTTCAGCACAGATATGACTTAACACCTTACTAAACTGCATCTACAAATTCAGGAAGCTGTTTAAAGGAGTTTTGGTAATTGTGGAATTCTGATGAGCCAGATTCATTCAGCACACTTATTCTACATATAATTGCAAGTAATCTGTCTTCTGTAAGCTTCTAAGACCAGGAGTTCTTTTAACTCTTGAAAATATACATTAGTGTATTCAGCTTTATTCAGTTTTCTCTTTTTCTTTCATGATGAAGTGAGGGATTTTAGATGGATAGTTTTAATTAAACATATTTTAATAAAGTACTCTAATACATGGATGTATTATTACTCATTAATGATTTTTAAAAGCCCCAACACTGTCCATTATGTCGATGACTTCCCAAAGGCATTAACATATGATTTTACCATTGCATGTTACATGTATATAATCTCTTGTATCATAAAGCTTGTAAGGCTTACAGCCACCCACAGTTCTCACTTAGTATCTCCTCTGGTCTCATTTGTGTTTAGTCATCCATGGCATTCTCTTAGTTTTCAACAGGATTTGCAGTTAGTGAATAGCTATACTCCCACTGGAATCTCTGTTTATTTCAATGAAAAATCTATGCAGAGCTATGGGTTTTCCTGTGCACCCCTTATTTCAAGAGAAGTACTTAAGTTACCAAGATTATTCCAACTGCCTTCAGTTATGCCTCCCTACAGCTTTGCATAAACAATGTGAATATTTTTTATCATTTCTGAAGTGTAAATATCTGTACTTTAAAAAATGTTTTGTTGTAACTATTTAAAAATATTTAAATAAATAAATATTAAATAAATAGATAAATAAAGTTTGTCTAAAAGTACTGACATATTTATAGGAAGTCTTTGAAAACTTGTACAAACTATTTTTTTTTCCCAATTATTGATTAATATACCATCCACTTCCTTCTCAATTAAATTACATGTAACTTGTATTTGTTTTACTTTTCACCAAAAAAAATATTCCAAAAACTAGAGGTCACCAATATAATATGTATATAACAATCCATTCCAGTGTATGTATTCTATTTATACCAATTGCTCTCCTTTTTCTACTCTAAATTTTTCCAGAATTCTCGCTAACAGGATCCTTTTTACTTATCATTGTTCCTTTCAACCCTGCAAGTCACTAGTCTGTACATTCCTGCATCTGAGCTGGGTGTAAAGCCGCTCTCTTTGAAACTAACTTATGGAAGAGGTTTTCCTGAGGCAAACCTTGAACATTTTAATCAAGTAGAACTATTGCTTGTGAAACCCAGAGCTATTGCAGTGGCAGTGCTAGGATCAGACCATCCCTGTAAGGATTACAAAAGTGAGTTCATGAAGTAATATGAAAGAAATTAATAACACAAACTTATTTAGCCACTGAAGGATGGTAGACCAAGCCTTTGCCATTCTAATTTGAGGACCTAGCAATTTCTTCCCATAACAGTGAAGTCATACAATGTTATGTATTTACATCAGAGTACAATCGTAACTACTAGTCACAAATAGTTCTAACATGAACAAAATCTCTCACAAATAATAACAGCCCACTTGCAGTCCCAGAACAACAGTGCTCCTTTAGACTGTGAAAATCAATTATAACATTGCACTAGAAACATGGGTGATACCAATAGGACTATGGCGAGGGACTGAGATGGGAGCCAATGGGTGGTGTGAATAGCCCTCTGAAAGCCTCTTTCTTGTCCACCAAGAAACTTGACGCCTAGCAGCAAGTAACAAGTAACTCCTTAGTTTTAAAAAAATACAGACTGAAGTTACTTATAGCGAACACATCTAGCTGCACTTAATACCTACCTACTCAGAAAGTATTTTTATTTTTTTCTGCATTAAATCTAATTCTGACTACTTTAGAATGAGTTATATTACTGTTTTTAGAGTGGACAGGTTTCATTTGTGGGGCCTAGAATAGTATTAAGAGATGGCATTTTGTCCAGTGGCAAAATTTGTTTCTGAAAAGGGTCTTTTATTCCCTGGTAAAAGCTTTTGATTTGTCTGGGAGGATCATTCCTAAATTATTATAAGTAAGATCAGTGTGATAAATAAGACAACTTTGGAACCTAATAGCACCAAATCTTAATGAACTAAGATGAGTTGCCTGTTTGTTAAGACATCCAGTATGAAAAATTTCAGGTGGTCTTGTGACTGAGGGTAAGAAATCCTTTGGGTAGAGTAGAAGAATTTCATAATACTTGACAATAAAAGAAAATTACAATATCTTTAAATCCTCCATCCCACTACAATCCCTACATCTTAGAAGGAAATCCTGTAGGCAGAGTTTTCTTAGAGCCTTAGGACATTGTGCCAGAGCCATCATCCCAAAAATCTGTTCATTGTAGATACTAATAGGACAGAATTTCAGAACAGCTAACAGTTGTGAATTCTAACACTTCCTATTGGAATCATCCAGGTAAACAAGCAATTTTTATTTCCCCTATGACTGTGCAACAATTCTGCTGTTGAAATCCTGGTATTTAAAACAAGTCAGTATTATTTATTGATTTATCCTTGCTTTCTCTCCCATATTCTTATTCATTGCTGTGGAACTCTTCAGAAGATTCTTTGCCATTTTCTTAAGCCTTCACTTTAGTGACTGACTTCTTAAAGCTTGAGCATCAAAACTTCTCCAGCAGTGAAAAATCTCCATAATTTAAACCTTACCGAGTTTTCCGCTTGTTTGTGGTCTTGGAGCTGTTGATACTGAGAACTTCCTTTTCCCCTGTTCCCCTGTTCCCTGGAAAATATCTTTCAAAGAGACAAAGGATGTGTTGGAATCCTTTTGCCTCTTTTACATAGTTCGTTTTCAATCTGTAGTTTTCTCAGATTGGAAATAAAGCTTTTTATGGCAGGAATTATGAAAGTGCTCCTTTTCTCCAAATCTGACAACTTTATGTCAAGCCTTGCAATATTTGATCCTTTGCTCAATAGCTCTTTAGAGGATATGTGAGTAACAGCTTCCCTTTTACAGAAAAGTTCTCTTTCTTGCCATTGTTGAAAAACTGTTGAAAACATAATTTCAGTAAATCCTGAAAGCTCAAAAACAGTAAAAAAAGAGTGTCCAAAAAGAAGAAGTCCTAAGACTTTTTCTGTCCTAATCCCAAGAGGATACTTCTGACTGTTTAAATGCATTTCATGTATCTCAATGATTCAGCTTCCTTCTCTACTCTGAAATATGCTGTTCAGGATCCAGTCAAGTGCAGGGAGGTATCAAAAAGCTTTGCACTATGGTAAATAGGTTCTCTTCAGTTTTGCTTCATCACAGTCTTGAGGGAAACTGGGCCAAAGAATGCTGTGATCCAGTGACACATAGAGAGAAAATTACGCTCCTCTCCCTTATCATTCTATAGGTAATCCAACGGAAAAAAAAAAGGGGGGAGGGGGATCTTTGTCACAGCGGCTTATTTGGTTTGTGGATTTCATACATACTGAAACTAATCTATCCTTTTTTAGACAAAATAGCCAGTCTTGAAGGTGCATTTATGTATCAACATGGCTGCTGAATTCTTAGGACAGGTTGCTTTACATATATCTGAGAAGATGAAAGTAGACATTCTGCTATCAAGAAATCTAGAATTTACTTAAGCTTATATTGTGTTAGTTTTGCTGTATCAGGTGCTTCAACACATTCCAGGCAACTTGAAAGCTTTACAAAGATGCCACATTTGCTATCATGTAATTGTGAAAGCAATCTTTGTGTTTCTCCATCTTTCAGTGTACTGATCACTAAGAATAGAGTAGGCATTGCTATCTGCAAATCATTGCACTTGAATCTGAGGTTTGATGTTTTTATCATCCTTTCTGCTTGTGTCATCATTCTTTGAATATTTCCTCTCTAGTATCAGTTAACTATGCTAAGAGACCCCAGACACTTAAATCACAATTTGTTGTGTATGAACAGGTGATGCAATCTCTTGGGATAAAGAACTATAGTCCGTAACACTGCAGATCATATTACAGATGTGGCCCTTTATAGGAAAATTTTTTGGCAAGAAACACACTGGACTGCTGAGCTAGGCAGATTGCTCTCCTCCCAAAGCAGGGAGCCAGAGGAAACGTGACATTACTCAGAATCGAATAAGTTACCAGGCTGGTTGAGGAACAGAGCAAAATCATAATAAGAAGGCTGAAGCCCCCTGTGTCTCCCCAGTAAGTCTGAAATACACATAAGGAATGTGTGTATAAATATATATACATAGATACATACATATGAAAAATGAATAGTTTCTTGTAAGGAAATAAATGGCATGCACTCAATAAACATACATATTAAGCTGGATGGAAGCTCCTAAGTCAATTGGTCTGTTCAGGACTCCAGATACTCTCTATTTTTCTTGAAGGACCTTTTAAAAGATTTCCTGAGTCTCAACAAAAAAAGATGTTTCTCAACTTTTGTCTACTCAGTTTTCAAGAGAAAGAAGAAAGCCTGTCATCCTTACTGTGCTCATCACAGTCAATCATAGCATTTAATTTCTTCTTGCTCTACTGAAGCAAGACAGGAAAGTCATTATATGTTTCAGGTTTTCATATATCTTCTGCGCTGCCAAGTTGAACTACAATGTGAAATCAGATAAATTTGTTTGTACCTGTACTGATTCTGCAAAACACTCTTAAACAAGTTTAAGACCATCCTGTTCATTACAGAAGGTCTAACTTACTTACAGATCTACTTACGCCAGTACAAATCTCCATAGATTATATCATGAACAAGGATAACACTAACATAAACAGGCAATTTACAAATCTGCCAGTAAGGTTCATTTATATTGGTTTATTTAAACCTAAATACTATAGTTAGGCATTCTCAGATTATTCCAGTATTGCTAGGTGGAGCTTTCATTCAGAACAACTTTATTTTCTCTACATGTTCGTGCCTCCCAAGTCTTAAACACATGAATAACCAGTTATGTTGCATATATACAATTTATCAGAGTTACACGTAATTTAATAGGCTCTGGCAACTGCCAGATTCATTACACCTTGTTACATCTGTATTTGCTTTCAAAATTGTGACATTTTGTACAAACTGATGTATTCTTTTCATAATTTCAGGACTGATAGTACATGAAGGTGCATCTGTTTATCGAGTGTTTAAGCGCTGGAGGGCTGTGAATCTACACTGGGATGTGTTAAATTATGATAAAGCCACAGACATAGAGGAGAGCAAAGGAGGAGAACCCTCAGCAGAGCAGGAAGGACATTGTGGTTACCGCTGACTGCATTTAGAAACAGAAGTTTAGTTCATCCAACACAGTTAACCTCACCAAGATTTCAGTGTGGCTACGTATTGCTACATCTGTTCAACCGCATGAGACCTCAGGAAGATTCATCAGAAGAAAATGGCTCTGGGGAAGTAGTGATGAGAGTGACCTCAGTGTAAAGATTAAGCTCACTGTGCTACACAGATAAGGATGATGTGCCCTGATGTTACAGGACATTGGAATGTAGTTACAATGGATGATAAAACCGTTAACACTTGAAAAACCATACACATTTTTTTAAATTGAATGCTTTTTATATGATCAGCTAGAACACAAATACATTTTTCTGGAAAAAAAAAAGTCTCTTGCCTTTTATATAGTCTGGTTTATTAAATCTTTTGTCAATTTGTACCTGAGGTGTTTACAATACAGTTTAACTCTTAGGTATTTGAATGATGAGGTATCTAATTTTTAATTAAAAGAACATAATTGTATTTTCTTAAATTCTGGCTTTAATCCACTACTGTTATTTTTCCCACTTTCATGAAGATTAAACTGAACAACCTTCTTCCAAAAAGATAAAGAATGTTGACACAAGTCAAGTATTCTTCTTTATCTGTCTTATTTTGTTGTTTGTAGTTCAGTTCAGGTGCATGAAAGCTAGTAAAGGATGTATTGTCCCTTGCCTTTAAGCAGAACTCCATTTGATGTTCTGCAAAACAGGAGGGAAGATGCCAACTCTTCTTTTAGCTCTCCCACATGGATGTGCAAGACGTCAGACACAAGTATGACACAGGCAGGGGAAGAGTTGTGCAATTTCTTTTGAGTCTCTGAGCTCTGCAGAGCGCTTGGTGCTGTGCCTGTGTGTGGAAATGACATTATCTCCCCAGCAGTGGTGCTGAATTGAGCAGCCTGTGGATTTCTAGTACCATTCTAACCATAGGACATTGACTTCCCCATTTTTATTTTTTTTTAAAAGAAGAAATTACATTACAACTTTTGGAATAGCAATAAATCCTACTGCAAACTCAAATAGAAATAACACAAAGCCTTAGTTTTGCCAGGTACTGAATCATCATTAAAAATAAGCCAATATTCATCTTTATCATGATAGCTAATCAATGCTGTGAAGTTTGCTGTTCTATTTTTGTCTCATGGCAAAAATTCTAATATAATTTATTCAAATGGGAATGGAAATAATTTCCAACTTAATAACAGTGTTGAAGATCAAGATGAAAAAGTAGGGTTGAAACAACTCTAAGAGCTCTAGCTTGCTCAAATAGTTTGTGGTGAACTGACCTTGGCTGGCTGTACAATGCCCATCCAGCTGCTCTGTCTCCCTCCTCAACAGAACAGAGGGAGAAATAAGGTGAAAGAATTTGTGGGTTGAGACAAAGACAAGGGCATCACTTACAAATTACTGTCATGAGGAAAAAAGAGGCAATAGGGGAAAACTAATTTAATTTATTGCCTATTAAAATAGAGTTGCATGGTGAGAAACAAAGACAAAACCTAAAACATCTTCCTTCCCCCCACCCCTTCTTCCCAGGGTCAGCTTCACCCCTTCACTCCCTACTCCTCTACCTCCCCCACAAACAGCACAGGGAGATGAGGGGCTCTGCCCAGTCCATAAGAGCTCCTCTCTGCCACTCCTTCCTTCTCACACTTTTCCCTAGTCCAGACTGGAGCCTTCCCACAGGCTGCAGTCCTTCAGGATAAACCTGCTTCCACATGGGCTCTCCATGGGACACAGTTCTTTTGGGACATGTCAGCCAGCTCTGGTGTGGGGTCCCCCGGGGGCTGCAGTGTGGATACCTGCTCCAGTACTGATCTCTCCATGGGCTGCATGATATACCTGCTCCACCGTGGTCACTCCAGGGCCCACAGGGAAACACCTGCCCCACCAGGGTCTCTCCTGTGATGGGGGAGTCCCGACCTCTCCTCACGAGGCCACCCCTGCAGCTCCCACCCCACCTCCCTCACCTGGACATCCGCACTCAGTACACAGTTCAACATTTTTCTGTCTCGAAATAAGCTGTAACCAATAGCTGAAAAGTTCTGGTTATTTTGTGCAGTAACTGGAGTGCTGTGGCTGGAAAATTCCCTCTCAGGGATTGACAGGATGGTGCTGGAATAGGTGCAGGCCTTCCTTTTATAAGATGGTCCTGTGCCAAGACCAGACACAGGAGGCTTCTGCAACTACATTTGGAAGGGTAATTGAAATTATTTGAGCCTTGGAGCTAAAAGCTCCTCATATATTCATAAAAATTTCGGCAATGGACTCAACATGGGCCCCGCGTTCTGCGGTACAGTCTCACAAGGTCAAGTTTACATTTTCTACATCTACAGATGCCTTCATACCCTTCAAACAATTAATGTGAAAAGCAGTACATAAGCCATGAGCAACAAAATTTAATCTCAAAAAAAAACCAATTTATCTCTTGCATGGCAAATTACCTACATACGACTAACAATCTCATTGAGAAACGATGAGAATTCACTTCCAGGTTAGCCTGAAATAATTTTCCAAAGGAGGAAATTGGTGGAGAAACAGGATGAGAGAAACTACGACTGGAGAAACCTGCTGTATCACTGGGAATTTCTTGTTCTTAATTCCTACTGAAATAAAACCCTTTTTCCCAGAAGGACCACAATTCCACATGACCAAATTGGAATTAGAACTAGTATCTCAAAAGCACTTTCAATACCAGTAGAATAAGGCACTCTGTGATCAATGTGCTTAAAACATCATGTCCTTTTAGGTACCTTTTAGTAATTGGTGATGTGTGGTATGTAAAGAATATTTCAGTGGTCCCAAAACCAAAATTGAGAACCTATGAAAATATTTTATTGTAAAGATATCTTTTTCATTCAAAATAATTAGGATGCTGAAAAAAATATGACTCACTGGGAAAGATCAATAGATGTAATTTAAAAGAGGATCAGATTCCTGTGTACCAAAATTTGAAGGACACATGAGTCTGGAACACTTCTACAACTTCTGACAGAAAAAAAGTGATCCAATTAAGAGTAACGAAAATGAGTAGTGAGAGAATTTTTTAGGGCAAATATCAGAAAAGCCTTTTTAATCATAGCATTTGTCAACAATAATTTCTATGGCACAATAATTTTGCATCTGTCTGCATTTATTTATTTATATATATGAAGAGCAAGATCACAAAATGATAAACAGTGGGGGGATTAACATGGGCAGGGTGCAGCTGTGGAAAAAAAAGATTACACCTATGGCTGTGTTGTGCTGCAGAGTGTTTTCAGTAGCAAGAGTGCCAAGTTCAGGATAGGAACATTTCTGCATTGACCTTGTATTTGGATTAGTGCAGTACCGCAGTGCTGTGATCATCTACATACAAGATAGATTAAATCAAATCAGAGCAGGTGCAGAGAGGGTTATTAAGATGAAATAGGAGTAGGGACAGTGTTTCACATGAGGAAATTAGAAGAGCATGTCTATTCTGCTTAACAGAAGTTGAGAGTGAACGTTATTATTGTCTGCTAATACATTGCAGAATTATTTTTATTTTTATTTTTTTAAGGTAAAGAACAAGCCTGAGAAGCAAAAGAACTCAAGGACACAAATAGATCACAAATAAACTTAGCTGGAAGTTCAAGATAGTTTTGTAATATTCATATAAAGAATTGCAAATAACAATTCAAGTTGAAAGGCCTTGTGGCCCGACATCTAGTCCAAGCTCCAGGGTCAGCTCTGAGGTCAGACCAGGTTGCTCAGGGCTTTAAGAAGTCAGGCCTTAAAATTCTCCAAGGATGGAAACTGTATAACCTCTCTAGGCAACCAGCTCCAGTTCTTGACTGTCCCAGAGTAAAAAACTTTGTCCTGCTATCCTCTCTCTTTCCTGATTCCAGTTTGCATCTGTTGCCCCTCATCCTCCCATACTGCCTTGCTGTGAAGTGGATGGATCTGTCTTCTGGATAACCCCCTTGCAGGAGCTAGCAGGCTGCTGTCAGGCCTCCCCTGAAGCCATCACTTCTCCTAGCTGAGCAAGACTTGATCCCTCAGCCTCCCCTCACACAGTATGTGCTCTGACTCTCAGTCAGCTTTGGGGGGCTCCAGTTACCCCATGTCTTTTCTGTACTGGGTTGCCCCAGGCACTGCTGGTCAGCCCTGCCTCATGCTCAACTCGTATCTGCAAAGATTCCCAGGTCCTCTCCTGCCCAGACTGTGTCCACTAGTGCTACCTGTCTAGGGACAGCCCTTGGCATGTGTCCTTGATGAGGTTCCTGGTCCTTCCAGCCTGGTGAGGTCCCTCTGGATGGCAGCCCTGACCCAACGGTGTGTCCCTGCAATCTAGCACTTGAGACCAGGACTGTCTGTCATCTTCTCCAGGTCACTAATAAAGGTTTAAAAAAGGATGGGGCTCAGCACAGACCCTGCATTACTCCACTTGTTACTGGTCTACAGACAGTGTAGGTCCTATTAAGCCTCACCTTCTGGATCCAACTGTGCATCCAGCTTTTTCAGCTACTGGAAATGGCTCCCAGTAAAGACAGTGACAACAAAATATCCAACCTGTTTCAGAGGGAGTTTGATGACTTTATGACAGTCATTAAGGTGTTATTACTAGTGGTGGCAGCAAAATGGGATTAACACTCTCCCCTTCCTCCGCTCATTTCTACATACACAAAATACACACATCCCTTTTCTGAAGAATGTAATGTCTTCTCCAAACAACTAAACTCATCTGTAATTACTCAATTAATTAATGTAAAAAGCATGTATTTAATGCCACTAAATGACACTAAAAAACAACTGTTGACCCAAATACAAAACCAGATTACAATATGAGAAAAGGTCATGCCTGAAGTTCCAGACATAGTAACAGCACTGGAAATCAGACCTCATGTAAAACCTGTATTTCAGTCACCATCCTGTTTGAATATAAAAAATGCAAGTGGGACAGAATCGAGGTGAAGCACAAATTAGATGATTTGCACTACCACTTCAGGAAACTCAGGTTTTTTCCATTTCCCTTGCATTACTCCCCACATCAGTAAAACAATGGACTACAGGAAGTGTAAGGGCAACTATGGAGTTTCCCTGTCAGGACAGGTAGAACAGCAAAAATTCTGTTTGAAACAGCCTGTCCATTCACATTGGTTTGAAAGTAAGGACAAATTGATTCTGTTCATTCGAGGATAGCAG